ATGTTTTATATATATTGGGATTTTAAATATTCGATTCAAGAATGATAGAGATATATTTTGTCGTTGGTATTGTGTCCATATAATGTCTGCAGAAATTTGGGTTGGGATCGTTATTTATCCGATGGATTTTGGCGATCAGAAAATAATTCCGAAATCGACCTTCTTTCATGCAAAATACCATGTCTAGGTCTCGGACCAGCTCCTGAAGTGCTTGTCCAGAACTCTGCGGTTTCCCTTCAGGAGCCTCATTGCAATGCAAGCTCTGGAAACAGCACTCCTTGCGCACCTTGCCACACAAAAGCTGTCTTGTTGCAATCTCGCTCGAAACACCACCGAAAAAGCACGAGGCAGCGCCTTTCCAGAGATGTTCAGGCTGCACATATCTGTCCCCACGTCCATGCCTGAGTTTTGTGTATGTTCAATGACGGTGGGCAGCCTCACACTTTGAGGCAGGATACTATTGCAAGTCCATCAGTGCCAAGTTGCCATCCAGGAATGTGCCTGAGAAAGAAGGACCTGAAGATATCAAACATGTATTTCTTTGGTCTCGCAGCTCTTGTTCAATGTCGGAGGCAGTCCTCCTCCAGCAGTGTAGGCCGGCTGTGGAGGTTGCACATATCCAGACCTGAAGCAGCATGGAATGAGCAACCACTGCGGTTGTAGTTATTGTACAAAAACGTATACCTCCTGATCCATACTATCGTTTGGGGTGCACTTGCAGCCGCGACACGGCATGTGACTTCTATCCACAGCCTGCACGTCCCCACTCGCTTGACCTGACGTCCAGTTGGCCTCGAACATCGCACCTGCCAACGAGTGCAAAACCAAAAACCTGGATGGCATCATGCAGACCCCGGGTTAGGTAGGATGTGTGATTTTTGGTAGGCCAAAGCTTGCCTACAAAACCATTCCAAACACAAGTTAGAGGATCGATAGCTCATGCGGGAGCAGAATGACCAACTATTTCATTGATATAATGGTTCTCCTCATTCTTCTGGCCGTGAATTGAACCGAGCTGCTGGGCTGCGCCGACTTGAAGTCAGCTTCAAAGAAGTTGTCGGAGGAATCAAAAGCCGTGAAATCCTGACCTCCAAAGATCCAAAGTTCAAGGCAATTGTTTCTCCAAAGGAAGATGGAACATGTGTCCTTTTGTCCAATCTGCCGACGCGGAGCCAGGTGGCGGATTGGACGGCGCATCGACGAGATCCTTGCCGTGAAGAGGCAGTAGGAAAGAAAAGCGCCGATCGATCGGCAGGCTGTGATGATGTGATGATTGCTGTGATTAAACCCTGTCCATCAGATCGTTGGATCCGGTGCTCGTGGGCTGCATCCGAGAAGGTGGTCCTTCAAAACCTGGGGCCCATCCGCAGAGGCTGAACCCTGTTCTGAGATTTCTCACAAGAAGCCATGCAGTAAGGTGGCGCGGCACCGGAGTGGAAGATGTCGCAGGGGTGCAGAAGTCAGCCCAGTCTTCACCAACCTCAATCTCTAGCTGTCGTTCAGGACGTGCTTTCACCGCACCGACCATCCAACCTCTACATCACTAAGCCTTGAGCTGTCTGTGCAGCCGGCGCGGTTCTGTCAGAGTGCAAAGATTCGCTTCAGCTTAATGGGGGTAGCGCTGGCACACCCTTATTGATCGCGTGTCCCGCGCAAACCCAACTTTTGTTGGCCTGGCTGGCTCCTCAGCATCCATATCCAGTAGGTCAATGTTTGAAGGGGGAGCCTCCCACACAAACACGTGTAGAAGCGAAGAATCAAAACAGCACAAGCATCTTCCAGTCCCCACCTTGCTGCCAGAACCTCTTCCAACACCTGCCAAGTGCGGCTTCAAATTTTAACACCCCTCATGTGTGAGTACATGGAATGCACGGTGAGCTGGAGAACCGGCTTCTGTCAGAGTCAGAGTCGTTGTCCTCTCCACTGAAAACCAGTGGCAAGGGTGCTGTGACAAAAAAACAGCTGTGATCTCCGCCTCTCCTGCTGCAAAGCAAAGCTCGGATCAAACAGTCCATATTTGTCTTCCTTGGGGCGAGCATCTTCCTGCCGTATCGAATAATCACATCAATGATGACGAAGTCTGTGAGGGCCAACGCCCCATAAAACCTCTTGCACCCACGGGCGTTCAATGACATGCCCGTGCTGGGTTCGTGTCCTCATCCCTTCTTGGTGAAGGCGAATTTTTCCCATCCTCAGAGAGGCAACCCACTGTCGCGGAGAAATGATCTTTTTTAAGACAAAAAGCCGCGCATACTCTGTGGGGATCAGGCACTTTTACTATATAAGCGCTCTTGGATAATCAAAGTGCCTCGAATCTGTTGACATTCTCTCGCGCAGCTCTCTCTGCCATCTGCTCCTCCTTCAGCCTCCACGAAGCTTCATGGTATGGTGAAACTGTGCGAATACCGCAACCACATCACAGATGCAAATGCGAAAGGCTGTGTGTACCTACAATTGACACTTGCAGTTCTTGGGATCAGCGGGATCACTCCAATCGCCCACGCCCACGCCTATTGAAGCGCCGTTCCAGGTCAGCGGCCTGAGACGCAGACAAGCTGCGAGAGTCGCCCACGCCGGGTCGGAACCTGGAGCAAAGCTGTGCGTAGCTGCCCGGGAGAAGAGCTGGACACCAACAGCGTCCATCGTCTTTATATGTCTGTCTGGATGCCAACCTTCACTCGTCACATCCTTTTTGATCAGGGTGGAGCAGTTAAATGCTTATGGGACTAGGATGTGTACCCCAAAATAGTTCAATCTACGTGCGTCTCTCTCCCGCATTGAAACCACTACTTTTCGTGTAAGGCTGTGTAAGGCATATATAAATGCACTCGTTCAGAGCCAGCCACTCGTTCATGGCTTCATTCAGCGCACTGCTGAGAACAGAAGAAGCGCTGCTGGAGGCTGCTTGCGATGGACTTTTTCGACCTGGAACGAGCAAAATTTGAGACATGTCAATGTCAGCACTTCTGGAATCCACTCCTTTGTCTTCACTCTGTGTCAGTCAGGACTGGTTGGACAGGCCAACTCGGGCTTGCAAGTAGAAATTCCAACCTCCTCCGATTGCAGTAGGTCCAGCTCCAGTCAGCTTGGTATGGTGCAGCTTGGCCTGCGATGAGGACTTCGCCCTGCAACTACCAAGTGATTTGCACGACTTGCCCCAAGTAGTGAGAGTAGGGCCTGCTCCCTCTCCGATTTTAGAAATTCCTGCCCCAGACGCTGTGCCGTAAACAAGGCATAACGGCCCATCACCTGTTCGCCTTTTGATCGTCTCTGGTACGCTTACTCATATTCTGTGTAAGGTCCTTGTCATTAAGCAGCTTGACCAACGTATCAGCCTTAGTTTGCTGGAACTCTGAGTCATTGGCCAGGCTGACGCAGGCTCGACCAGTGATGACTCAGCTTCCCACTTTTTCACGAACCCCACTGCCTCGACCAAACGAGCCCTGCTGAGTCTCCAAATGCACTGTTTACGATTGTTTGCTTTGTTAGGTTTGATGATTCGTATGGTTGGTCGTGCCAGGCCAACTTCGAAAGCGTGAAATCACTACATGGTTTGTTGGGCAAGCCACTTGGCTTGGGAAGGACTGAACACACAAAAATAAACTGGAAAAAAAGGAGGGATTGCTAGAAGTTGCCATTGCTGCCATTCTTTTGCATACAAGCGACAAGCGACAGAAGAGCAACCATATATATAAAGGAATGAATTGAAAAACCAATAGGAAACGCAAGTGGCGGTGGCTCGATTCAACCAAAACAGGGTAGAACCAACTATATAAATGAAAAACAATAAACAAATTAACTCTGGGAAGACATTTAGTTACAGTGTTCCAACTCCCCAAACAACTCAAGGATTTAGAGAGAATTCCGCAGTATCTAACAGGGTGCCCTTGCTGTAGGATGTGGTCATTTCAAATCATTTCTTCCAGATGAGCGACCGGCAAAACCTCCCAGCAAACTGGGTTCCACTTTGACAAGGTTATCGATTTTGGTAGTTCACCATATCGTTTTTCAGGGTTTGGTATAATCCTGTTTGACTTCGCACATGCGCGTGAGGGTTCTGTCACAACCACAAGCTGAGTCTAGCAGCTGCCAAAAGACACCCGGATGAGTGCCATTGTTCTTTTGAAAGCCTAGAAGATAACCAAACTCAAACAAAGAACATGAACAGTAACAATGGAACAAGGTCTGATAGTTCAGAGTATCGTTTTTGGTAGTTCGCTATATCGTTTTACATGGTTTGGAGACACTCACATCATATAGTTCGCTATATCGTTTTACAGGGCATAGGCAACTCACATCATAAAGTGGAACCTCGAAGATCAAGCACTTACATGAACTGTTTCGCCTCTAGCTCAGATGGATGGTAGTGCTGTTTGGCCTCTATACTGTGGCTGGCGCTGCTTGTGCCATCGATTTCCCTTTTGCTTGATGTGCACATTGCTGAACTAAACTTTATACTTCAGAATTGCTGCACTGCACTGATATGTCATTTCAGGATGTGGTCACGAACACATGGGAAAATCTGCCTCTGTCCGTGCCATCCTCTCGACACTGGAAGTTGGCCAAGCGCCGGAACATGAGCTGCTCTCCCCGCCTGTGCGGGTCAGAGTGGAAAGAGCTCGCCCAGGGGTCAGTTCGTGTGACTTGTTGAGCTCCGTGCAGTTCGTCTGCGATGTTCTCCCCACCATTTTTGATCAAATACTCAAGCCTTGTTCCGACCCAAAAGCTGTCGAAGCCAGGGATCAAGCATCAGGCATCGACAGGCTTAATGCAATGACGGTGTGATTTGAGCAGCTGAGGCCGGGTGCATGATAAGTGTCTTGAGAATTCTGCGCCACCTCAAGCGCTGGCACTCAAGTCCAAGCTTTCAAGGATGCGATTAATGTTGAGGAAACTCTTGCAGAACGCAATGTTCTCAAAGGCCCCAGCTTTTCTTGGTTGCCATTAAGGTTCTCGACTGCACGTGTCATGATTTTCCTCGGAAGCCCCAGTAATAAATTGAACATTTGTCAGCCAGGAAAACATAAACTTTCTCTAAGAGAGCAACTGGCGATACTTGTAGGTCTGCGCATCAAGAGCAAGCTCATGGAGGACCTGAAGTGTGGAAGATGAACGCCAAACAAAACATCCGAGTTAGCAAAAGCTTGAGGTCAAGGCATGCACAGTGCGAGATAAAGCTAGCTAGAGGTTGTAAAGGAGCAAATAGCGCACTTGTTTCTAGTCTTTGCGGAGACACCCAAAATCGCAAAGGCTCTTGTTGCACCTGTGCTAGAACCCCAGGTCTAGTGCCGTCCGAATGCACACCTGCCAGAATCCTAGCTTTCCTGATGAATCGCTATGTCAACACGATGCTCTTGTGCTCTTGAGAAAGGCTTAAGTGCCGAAAGTCAAATGCTGGTGATACTGCCTAATACCTGTGGCAGTTTCAGCATCCCATTTCAATCACCGAGACCGCAATGATTCATGCAATTCCTTCAGTGTGAAGGCAGTTAAGGGCAGGGCACTGTTTGGGCAACCCCACCGCTTGTTGGAGGTTGCCTTCCCCAGAGCGACACATCAAACTAGCCTATGTCAAGAGACTCTTCGGGACTCAAAGCTGAGTCGAATGCCTCGCGCAAATTGCGCTCCTGAGTGTCAACATGCGTCACGATCACTGAGTTCTGGACCCATGCTTTGCGGAACGATGTATCCAAATAAGTCTCAACAAAACTAGAAAGTTGAACCAGGGCAAGTGTCAAAAGGTGTCTCAAGCTCCGCAACTGCTTTCGCTTGTCTTTTGATCCTCAGTCCGTAGGCTCATGACTCATAACATATGCCTCAAGTTCGGGACAAAGCTGAGTACATTGCTTGATTGCCTCATGTTTCAACTTGCCGTACCTCGTATTCAGACACCATTTTTGGGGGGCAGATAATCCAGGTCACACGAGAACAGCACTCGGAAATGCGAGATTCATGGCTACCACTGAGCAAGCGGCCACTTGTCAAGCGCCTTTTCCATGTGGAAAGGCAAGGACGTTCGTGGTGTATCCACCTTGAACGCCTCTGTGCTTTGAGCCGGTCATTTGCATCGCACTTGCGTGCGTGGGGGATCTGGGGACATCCTGTCTCAAAGCCACCATGAGCAGTCAAAACAATCTGCAGCCTGCATCTGGCGATTGGCCATGATCGAGTCAAAAGCAAGACTTTTTCCGTGAAAAGCTGTCACCAGTGAAACATCCTCGTGCCATTCGGCAGAGCGATTGGGTTGGGACTACATACCAGCAACATGAAGCAAATCTTGCTGGCATGTACTGATCGGAGAATTATTCAAGCCAATAAGAGCCAACGCCCTCCAACTCACTTCCCGTAGAGGCTCACACCCCATGCCTGTCAAACGTCTAGCACGGAATCGTACGATCAAGCAAGGCTGTCTGCAAAATCTACAAGCCTTGCTGTAAGCATCTGCAAACTTGGCAACATCTGAGTTGCTCAGTGGTTTGTACCTGAAAATGTTGAAATGTGAGGTTGTCAAGGTGCTTGAAGGTGCTTGAGGGTGCTTCAGCCAAGTAAATTAGGCTGGGACCAGTGGTTCGAGGGGCAATTTAGGAAACGACCTCAATGAACCCAAAAGCAGGAGTAGTTTGCGTGACTGACATGGCTGAGCATGTATGGCCCATAAGGCCGTATGGCTGTTCAAAGCCCATCGCGGCTTCTATCCATCGCTTTTCCCAAGGCCGCTTCCTGCGCTATGAACCTTCCAAAGAGGCAGCGGTACAGCATCAACATGAGGCCTTGCTGCTGTGCACCTTTCTGAATCCGGCAAATCCTGTAGGTTGGGCCTTGGGAAGAAAACAAAATTTCCAAATTCATTGGTTGAACAAGTCCTGAGAGATTGGCATGGATCCTCCTCGCCGCATCTGATTCTCACCAGCGCGCGTTAGCTTCCGCGACCTCCAGCCCACGTTTCCTTCCAAAAGAAGCCGCCTACGCTTACCATACTCACCTTGTACGGCTTGAAGGTGACTTGGACGGTGGATTCACAGTCTCCTCGCAAGAGAGTGAAGGAAGAACTGTAAAGTTAGATGCCCAAGGATCCGGCAGGCCAAACAGCACAAGGAATGCTTATTGCATAAGGCCTCACACCGTGACTGGGCTTATGCCATGCCAGATGGCTCCAGATCTTGGGCTTATGCGGCACTCCAAGCTCTTCTCTGACGTTACCATCCTCTCGCAGCAGCAAGATGAGTGCTTTCTGCAAGAGTCCCACAGTCCCACAATTTTCATGGAGCCCATGGCAAGAAAAGGCAGCAAGCCTACAAAGTTGAAGCATCTCAAGTTGGTGCAGCTCCTTTGACTTTCTTGTCTTGGGGCACTCAGGGTCCACCTGCAACGCCTTGACAATCAAGTCACAAAAAGGTGACCAAAAAGGCTGCAAGTCTTCGCATGGTAGAGCCAAAATCCCTACAGCCAAATCGGCGTCATTGGCCCTAGCAGCTGCTAACTTGTTGATGGGCCCTCCGTGCCCATCCTGTGCTCGAAAATCAGCCGCAACCAGAGTCTCTACACCACTTTTGCAAGTTGCACCCTAGCTTTGGCGGCATGCTCTCCCTCTCTCTCTCTGTCTTTGTGTTTCTGTCCACGTTTTCTCCTTCTCAGGATCCCAGTCCTTCATCAACCATCCTACTCCAAGACGTGTTGGCCTAAAAGAATGCAAACAGCGTATGGCACATGACAGGGAACATGAAACATAATGTGAAGAATTGAATGTGTGGGAAGTTTGGGATCTGGGTGTCTGGCTTGCTCCCTGCTGGTTCGCTTCGATGAGCAAGCTTACCACAATTGCCCTGGCAAAATTAAAATGAAGAGAAACACGAGCACGCTTCAGCTGCAAGAGCATTCGCAAAAAAACTACCACGCCTGGATCCAGCCAATCTCCTGCTGACAAGTCTCTGGAAACCTCAGGTGGTGGATAACTGGGCGAGCGGCCCAAGTGTTGGACACCCTGTGCCCTGAACAAATGCCGCTCGCGCGGGACAGCCTTGGAAACCAGTGTCGTGGCTGCTGCAGTTGATGGTGGTTAATGTGCATGGCTGACGCTGACCCTCTGAGTGTCGCTGGCCGTGTGTTGGTTCATGCAGCGACGAAACTCCTTGGTCACTGGGCCTGTGGGATCCCAACCTCGCACGCCACAGGTTTTCTTGACAAATCTCTTAGATTCCTTCGGAACTTGTTTAAGCTCGCAAAAAAGGTATTGCACTAGCAAACAGACAGGTTCTTCAGGAATTTGACGGGTCTGAGGCAACAACCTAAAGTAGCCGGATTGAAGCCACCACCTCAAGATCTAAAGACTTGATGCCAGCGGGGCTACCATCCAATCTTGGTTTAAAGACCCCGCGATCAGCAAACGCAACAGCCAGCTTCCTGTTAGCTTGTGTTGGTCTTTTTTATGCCCTACCGTAATGAAGGCGACCTGCTTTTTAAGGTTAGGTCTCTGGGCGGCTTTTGTTCATCAACCAAGCAGATTGGGCCTTTCGTCCAGCCCCTGGTCAGGTTCTAGAATGGCAGCCGCAGCAGCTATATGAGGCTGCAACGGGAGGGTGGGGAAGTTGATCCAATAGCAACACTCCCGCTCACAAGCCGCAAGCCTTCAGCCATTGAGGCTTTACGCACATTGCGCGCGAAATAGTTTCACGCTGCCCTTGGTCAGAGGAATTGCAATTCATGGACCAAATGGTTAAGAGGGAACTGAAAGTGTAGATTGTCCGGGACTCTGGATTGTTGATCAGGCTGGCAGTCATTACGTTAAATCACCGGCTTCGTGGAAGCCGTGCTTTGTGTGAAAAAAAGAACTTTCCCTCCACGTGTATCAGCACGGTGCGCAAGTCCAGTGAATGTCTAGCCGACTCCTCGTTTAGATCCGCTCTTGCAAGCGCTGTGGGCTGCAATTGCTGGAAACAACCGTCATGGCAAATGCATTTGCAATCGTCTCGATTGTCCGACGAGTTCATCACCAAGGATCCATCACCAGTATGTCGCGCTTGAGTGGACCTCTGACAAAGAGTTCCGCAAACAATCCTTGGTTGGATCCTGTGGCCTGTGAAGCCTTTGGTGGTGCATTTTCGCTGCGTCGGATAGTGTTGTTGATTTGCATAGTCGGCATCTGATTGGCCGTTTCCTTGGTTCCGTTTCCTAGTGTTTTTGCTTTCCTTCCTTTCCTCTTGCCAATACCGTTCCCTGATTGAGTTATCAAGCTTGTTCAAGCTGCTCCGACAAGCCCCCGGTTTCTTCAGCCACCGTCCACGCATTCTTCCACGCACTCAGCAAAGTAATGTTCACCAGCATGCTGTCCATAGTGCCCATCAGCAAATGTTGTTTTTTTCCCTTTCTGCTCTGGAGAATCTTTGGTTTGATTGTCTTTCCTTTTCTTCTACCTTTGCCCTTGTTTTGTCTGGCCCTTGCTGGCAATCTTTTCCAGAACTGTGTTCCCCCTGCGGCTTCATAACTCAAAGACATCGTCTATAAAGTCTAAAGCACCCACAAATCCTTTAGCGCAATCTTTTCATCTTCTGCCCCGTAGCCAAAATCGCTGGCCATATCACCTCCATCCACAACTAAGAGCCATTGTGTCACACCGTGTAGAAGGCCCATCCAACTGCTCATAGGCTGTTGATTCCTGCATCTGGTGAACTTCATGAACTGTAGGCACCTGTAGAGGATGACGTTCGATGCCCCTTTCCAGATATATGTTTTTGCAAAATGCTCCTGGGGTATTGCCCGCCTACCAATGGTACTACCAATGGTGGGTCACTTGCCTTCCTCTATCCGAGAATTTGTATATACACTGCTTCTTTGCTCTCTGACTGGTTAAGTTAAGTAGTGCCGGTCCCATTTCACTTCTTTTAGTCCTAGTCCTAGTCCTGGCCCTGTGACGCCCCACCCGATCGTCCGTACTACCCCCGAAGGCAAACAACGATTGCTTCCCGTCATCGCCCGGGAATGGCTCCCTTTCCACATGTCCAATGACAAGTGCTTGTGGCTCGTAGGCCAAACCGTATCAGGCTCTTCCAGGGTCACCGATCACTGCTCCGCTACCACTGAAAGAGTGACACCAGCATGAGGCCTTGGAGACCTAGACTTGTCGTGCCTTTTATCCACAATGGGAAGCAGGATGCCTGTTCTTGCGCCTCAACCTACCGGATGCTTTTAGTGGTTTGCCATAGTTTGCCAGTAAAGTCACTCAATTCTTCAACTCAAAATGCCTCAGCTGCTGACCTGAAGCTTCTCGCGGGTCCATGTGGCCAGGCCTTCCGCTTAGAGGCATCTGAAGTATGCTGTTGCAATTGCTCGTCTGATTACATGCAATCGTGCACCAACCCTGACAGTGTCCAACTGCCACCGCAAAAGGGCCAGGAGCATCAGCACAGACCCCTAAAGAACTTAGATTAATATTGACCCACCAGGTTCCCTGCTTGAATTTGCGCGGCACATCTGGCACCTCGACTGACCGAGCTGCGCCGGCGGACATCTGTGGACCAAACGACATGGCTGGACATGGCTAAGGAGTGGGCACTCACAGCTGCGCGAACGCTGAAACCATCAGGCCGAGATCTTGCATTGATTTCCTCTTTGTGAATCCTGATTGCATGGTTGCACAGCAGAGCGGGGCACACAAAGTGACCCGATGCACAAGAGATTCAAAGCGGTCCTCTGTGTCCATAGGATATGATCTGCTGCTGTCAGGCCCGGGCCACCAGGCATACTTGGCACACTGTCATGCCCAAACTATGCACAGGTCACAGTAGAGAATTTCTGAGCCAAGAAATCCAGGGTTTAGAATCACAACTTGTATGACGGAAACCATGCAGCAAACATAATCGCTCCACGTGCACGCGAACTTTCAAACTTCCAGGTGCTGCCACATTCTTTCCGACACGGACGCCAGGACAAGCCGTGTATCCCTTCAACCAGGAGACCACGGGACCGGACCAGGACCAAAGGACCAGGGGGCCAAAGGGCCTGTGGACCAGAGAAATAGGAACCAAAGGACAAAAGGACCAAGGGACCAGGGCACCAAAGGACCAGTGGACCAGCGGACTAAAGGACCAGAGGACCAGAGGACTCGCAGACCACAGGGCCAGGAGAGCAGCAGAAGAGGCCTATCCAGGAATATTCTTGTTTGATAGTCATTTTTGTTTTTTTGATCATCTTTTTTGTTTGAGGATCTTTTTACTTTTTTTGATCTAGATGCCTCAGTCAATGCCATGGAGCGGCACCTGCCTTTTTGGGATGTGCTGCCCAATCCTGGATGGATGACAAAGGAACCCATCGACGAAGTGTGACTGGTACAATTTGCCGTGTTTGAGCAGCCTTCTCTCCATGTGCAGGTTCATGGTCTTGTTGTCAAATTGCTATTTTCATAGTAGAGTTGCGAACCATGCCTCCCCCTCTCTGGAACCCAAGAGCTTTGCAGCACGCACAGCAGCCAGCAGCCACGGCTTCCAACCACCACACGTTTTCATTCAAATGATTCAATCTACGCAAGCCACGTGCTCTCGGTCGGCATTGATTTTTTCACGTCGTCACGTCGGTTGGAAGGTCACTGGCGCTCCTGACAGGTCACACATCAGTCGGTTGGAGGTAGATGGGGTGACAGAGCGGCCAAAGAGTATAGCCTTGTCAGTATCACAACATTGTTCCACGCGGTGACAGTGGACCCCAGGTCAATCGTTCTTCCCACAATCCTGCCTGAGCATCTGTTACAGTTTAAGATGGGAGAAATCTAGAGGAGGAGTGGTTTAACGTCTTCAAACATCAATTTAACATCCACGTGGACCGGATGGACTCCGCCAGCTTGTCCTGCAAGTGCCAAGTAACGTGCCGCGAAATGCATCTGTACCTGCATGCTACAGATTCGAAAGCCCCCCGCTCAAATGCAAAAGTCCCGTGCTCACACCCTAGGTGGATCTTCTCATGTCTCATTGTTCATATTCATATGATATTATGATAGTAGGAGAGACCAATCACGAAAGGACTAGCAGTTAGCACCCTGCTTGAATCAGAACCCGCAGCTTCGTTGTGTGAGAGGAATCTTAGTCTCCAGCAGCTTGAAAGCGTCCCTTGGAAATTGGAGTGCAAGTTGGAAAAATCCAAGACGAGAAGTTGCCTCGACGGCTGCGTGGGAATCATCAGAACCGAAGCGAAGCAACGGTGACATGTCATGCACCGAAGACGTTCTCCAGGTGCTCAGGAAGATGCTCACATGCGAGGATAGTGATGGCTTTGCATGGCTCTGCTCCAGTGTGAGCTTGCAAGTGAGTTCCTCTTTCAGTGTACCTGATGCAGCTTGCATCTGGAGTGTCCGGAGAAAAGCTTGACTCTAAATTGCTCTAAATCTCTCTAACTCCTCCAAGCTGCCAGACATCACGTCTAGGGCCTCGGCTCTTCACGGTCCACCGAATAACACACCCCTCGGCTGCACAGCACCCTGAGCTCGGCACCCTGAGTGGCTCCAAGTGACCTCAGGCCGCACGGGGTGACCGGCCTGGCCTGATGGCCTGGTGGTGCCCTCCTTCACTCCGATTCACTCCAAGGGACCCATCACTTCTCCTCGTGCATTCACAAGGCTGAGGTGGATGACGGAGGTGTCTGGCTCACTGACCTAGGGTGGCCAGGTAGACATGGATAAATCAAGAACTCATCAGGGCAGAATCAAAGAGCTACGTAAGTCCAACGAAGAACTAGCATCATGTTTATGACGTCATGAACATCCTCAAACCTCCCCGAACAAGGTCTTGCAACTGTAATGCTATACTTCCACACTCAGTGCCCATGCGCTTAACTTGAATCAAGATGACTAAAACGGCCAAGGTCTCATACCAGGAAAGTTCCATGCATTGCACCTCGCCATGCTCCAGCTTCCGCTGGGCTTCGCTTTCCACATGCTTTGACTTTGCCATCAAATAGTGTTCAACCTGAACTGCATACAATCACAATACCAAGCAATTCCCACCTTCAAGCCTTCCCTCATCATTCCTTCAACACATCTTCCACTTTAAGCATTGCCCACCTCGGCTTGGTCCGCCTCAATGATGGCGGCAATTTCTGCGGCATCCACACTAAGAGCATTCAACCGATCGATTGCATGATGTAAGCAGTCTGGCAATGAAGTTTGGAAATCTGGATGTTCAGGTGACTTGCCACTGGAACTATACACTGCTGCGGCGGCTGCCGCACCTGCTTCCTGAATCCAACACTTCCAGCGCAAGCCTTTCATTGCTGCCTCTTCTGGAAAGCCAGTGCCAAAGTGGAGCTCGACCAAAGCCACGCCGTGAGGTTCAGCGTGTGTTTCATAGGGGTGATTCCTGTCAGCGCGGTCGCTCACGCTCGCGGGCGCAAATTCCAGCCACTTGTACTTTAAATCGATCTCGGATGGCACTCCGGTGTTCACAGGATCATCGACGTGCAACAGGCCCGACTTGACTTGAGACGTATCCAATTTATAACGGCACACCTTCTCTTTGGCTGCATCTCGCATGCTTAGTAGCTGGCTCACACTTACACGCAATCGCCCCAGCAGCCCCACAAAATTCCGTTGGAAGAAGCCTTGGTCATTGTCCATCACATCCACCTGAACTTCTTGCTCTCTGTTATGCACAATGAAATACGCCGTATCCGTCTCTGGCCAGTCTGGGTTCGTGGTGTTTCTCACCGTACTGGTGCAAAGCGAAGTGCCACCGAGCCGCACCACACAGTACGGGTTCGAGGTAAAACTGCGAACGGCTCCCATCTTCCAGTTTGCCCCGGCCAAGTTGATGCCTCGGCAAACATGCACCTTTAACACTCCGATGGGTTCTCTGGTGCAAGCCGCCAGGCTGAGCATTCGCTCGTCACTGGTCACTTGTATACACTTGAAGTTTGGAAGGACCAAGGTCGAAAATAGCCCGTCCACAGCAGCTTGAACTCTCTTGGCCAAACCCGGCATGGGAGCATCCACAATGCCTGAGAATTGCAGCTCCAGCTTCGGCTGCGCCGCGAAATAGATGATCACAGCACCTACAATCGGCCACGTGTCAAGCAATGGCTTGAGCTCCAAACACAATTTTCCAAAGAAATCCAAGCGCTTCACACCCAGTGAAAGAGAACCGGTGGACCCTGCGGTCAGCAGTATATCCACAGCACTGGAATAACGTGTCTCCAGCTCTAAGAGCACGTGACTCTCTGAATGTCTGCGGACCTCAATGGGGCCAAAGGACGGCACTCCGTTCCCCAAGGAGAAGCGTGCGAAGTGGAGGCTGAAAGGAGTACCGTCGCGCAGCTTGCTGGTCAGTTCATTCTTGATAAAGTTCTCGAGCGCAGTGGCGGCATTTGGCCATAATCCTTTCAGCAGGCTGTTGACCCAAATGAGGCTGCTTGTCTCACAACCTTCCTCATCATCAACACTGGCCATGTGCTTTACGGGGGAGACCAACTTGAGCCAACGACCATGATCAGTCACAAGCCAAACTTTGGGCGTTGTAGTGTTTGAAGGCCATTCTCCTCCTGCGCAGCGGGTGTGGAACTGGCTCTTTTTTTGTCCGCACCACATGGTCTTTGCCATATTGTGAAGTGCATTTTGCCAAAACGTAGTGACTCCGAAAACAGCCTCATGCTGCCAAAGCTGCAGGATAGCTGGTGCTTCAAGCTGTTCCCATATTCAAGAAAGGACCATTCAAAATCAAGTATCTGGCTCTCTATAAACCTTTCAACCATCTTGCCAAAAGGATATCAAAAATCAGAATGGTCTCTTTATGAGCAACGTACCTGCAGTAGCCTTCTCAAATGCATTGACATCCACAAATTGAGCAGCTAGGTCTGTACACGGGACCAGCGGATCACTTCGGCCCCGCTCATACAAACCCGCGTCGCACGGTTCTTTGACCTGTCGATGGATCAACTTATTAAGAACATGCTTCGCAAAAGCATGGTGACGCCAAATGTTAAAAACTACCATATGAAGCCGCATGCAAATGAAAGCTAAGGCAACACCAAATGACTCGACCTATATATATATAATTATATATATATATATTAAGCTTCCGATTCTAAGGCTTCTGGAGTCGTGATTGCTTCGACGAGCGCCACTCAAAAAGCATGCGGCCTTCTGTGCGGCAAGCCGACAGGCTCCAACCATACGCAACCTCGCACTGCTCATGCAGCGCAGTTTTCTTTGTGAAGACTTTTGGTGCCACTGGATCTATCCTGTCTGGTGCGACCAGTTTGCTTGAAGCGTACATCCGAGGCCGCCACAAAGAATGTAAGCGCTTAGGTGCGGCGAGATGTGTCTTAGCCGCATGCAATTGAAAGGGAGAAGTGACTCGGGGGAAAGGGTGACTTTTGAGAGTGGCTGGTGGATTAGGATCCGCACAAGTCCGGATTCCGCCAGACGTGTTCACGCTCGCTGCCTTGGCATGAGAGGGAAACTACTCCTTCCGGCTGTCCAACCGTCCACTTTGACCACATGTCCAGAAACGAAACCTGAGCTCTCGACTGGGGTCGTTCGGACAACCGGCTCAGAAGGCATTGTCGTCACTGGTGCCGCCTGCTGGCCGCGCAAAGTCTCAAGCTGTGCAAACTCATTCTTGTCCAGGACGCCATCACCATTCACATCAAGTGCATCAAAAAGCGATGCCGCAGCTGTTCTGGGCATTAGTGGTGCCACTCTGGTCACTGGTGCTTGCACCTGAGGCTGAGGTGCCTGCGGAAGGTATGTGTATGAAGTGTATGTAGTCACTGGAGCACGTGCAGGTGTTGGAGGCGTATAGACAGGCGCAGCTGTGCGCGTGACTGGAGCAAGTGCAGGCAAAGGTGTTGCAACAGCAGCTGAAGAGGCTCTGCTAGGCACGGACACCACCGGCGGTGGAGTGGGTACCGGTGGTGCCTCAGCCTTTCTCTGCGGCATCGGCACGCGAGGCCCCTTGGCTTTGGGAGATGTTTCTGGCTCCAACAACGAGGTCTCATCCTCTGATGGCTCTTCCACATCTTCAACGTCCACTGCGCGTTTTGCTCCATTCTTATCAGTCTTGGACCTCAGAACGCTTGAACGTTGTTCTCCACAAACCCTTGCATTGCACACAAAACAAGTGACCAAAAGACCACACACAAAAAAGAAAGTAGTGGATAACTTAGCCCAAGTCACGGGCCACAACAGAAACAAAGAATCAATGAGACGAGAGCAAGCACAGCTCCAAGCAAAATCCAAAGAAGAGTCTGGGAGAAGCCATAATTGGGTGACTCATCCTCAATTGCCCAACAGCCAATCAGGGAAGTTCAGCTTATGTTCGCACAATTGTTCTACTTGTCTGCGAGGCCCCGGGCATGCAAACTTGAACAAGCATATGTCGAGCTGCACCGCCAAAACAAATCAAGCTAAGGCTCTGTGAGCACGACGATGGTCTCGTTGCCCGAGTCCGCTGCTACGGCTACACCCGCGCTACTGGCACCAGCTCTGGCCTTCCAAAGCGTCACTGGTAATGAAAAAAGAGCTACAGTACAAGTGCGCGCTCTCTCTCTCTCTCTCTCTCCTGTTCACTGTATTTATTAGCGTGCGTACAGGTACATCAATGCGTGGCTTGCTACTTTTCAGTGTCACACACCTGTCATACCCTCTGCATCAGCCTACACGAGAGTGATTGACACTTACTATGCAGAACGCCACAACAGCGATCATATTCAAACACCCGGCCATCACAACTGCCACAGTCGAGTTCTCTTCCGAGCTTGTGGTGGTGGTTGGGGTCGTCGTCGGCGTCGTTGCTATCTCCCTGCACATGTTTGGCTCTGGGACTCTGGGGCTTGGTAGTTCCAGTTCCTCTTTATGAATTACTGTCTGAATCTACTGGGACCTTGTACATACAGCATGATGTTGCCTTGTAACATATTATCACTATCCTACCATTCCGTGTCCATAGCCATGTTGCCATGTTGTTGCCTTCCATTTACATCACCCGCCAAGGGCACCGGAAGAAAAAAACGCTCCGAACACGCTCCTCCAATTTGGCGCCGTGAAGGCTCCGGACACTTCGGCCCTTTCGGCGGCTTCAGTGCCCAGGCGAGCCGCCTGTGCGGGTGGAACCATCGACGGGTCAGAAAGACGGTCCGTGTCAAACCGGTTGGTGGAAAAGACGCTGGAAGGTGCACCATTGTCCAGCCTCAGTAGCTGACAGTCCTGCGTTGATCCCAGCAAGCCTAGGATGCAAACGTCACTTCAACGCAAAGGTGCTTGCGTTTGTCCTGCTAGCCGGCGCCTGCGTACCTAAACAGTTTAGCTGCATTCAAGTCACGTGGCTGCTTTCCTGGCAGCTTCCACAGCACCAACTGGCGTCATGTGTCCATTGATGGCCGCGCGACCTGCAGCCACTGCCGCATCATCCATCTGCTCCTGCGCCGATTTGCCACCAGCTGCAGCTAAGCGAGCCGCCTCTGCACCTGCTTCTGCAGCATCTCTTTCAGCAGGTGTCTCCTCAAGCGATTCTGCAGCAGGCTGGCTGGCAGTGGCGGCAGCTGCCTCAGATGGTGAGATTGTCACGACGTTGGTGTCGATTTCCTCCTTCGCTCCACCACTCACAGCATTTGCCACAGCACCTGCCAGCGTCTCAGCCTCAGCGGCTGTCACACCTGCCGCGAGTGCGGCTTTCTTGCTGGCGTCGTGAGCACTGGACACTTCTTCGGCAACAGAAACTCCAGGCTTTGCCACAGCTGCTTTGTATGCAGCCTGGCCCGCCGCCATAGCTTCTTCGTATGGAGTCCCTTTGTCGCTCTGCACTCGGGACGCAGCAGCTTTGCCAGCGGCCATTGGATCAGTCGCATCAGGACTAGCAGCTGTCTTCGCAGCCGGGACAGCTTGGTGTGCGATTGCATCCAGCTCCGCTGGTGTCAAGCCAACAGTCGCGGCATTGTCACCAAGTGCACTTCGCACTACTTGGAATTGTTCTTCAGGACTTATCCCAGGACTGGCTGCTGCAGCTGCACCAGCAATGATTAAGGCAAGTTCCTGGCCATGTTTACCACCAGCACCTGCAGCCTTTGCTGCAGCAACCGCTGCAGCCGAAGCTGCCACTTGGTTCTCATCTTTGTTTGCAGCCTTTGCTGCCCGCCTGGACCCATCTGCAGCGATTTTCGCGGCCTGCTGAGGCGACAACCCCGAATCTGCGGCAAAGGTTCCGATGGCCGTGGATGCCGCCTCCATCTGTTGCTCGAAGCTCATCCCAGCCGCGGAGGCCGATTCGGCCACTGCGAGGCCAATCTCGGCCGCCTTCTGTTCAGCTGGCATGCTGTCTTGTGCTGCTTCTGTGGCAGCCAAGGCTGCTGCCATGATAGCCAGCTCCTGTTGCTTCAACTGGCTATCCCCATTCTTTTTCGCAGCTTCCTGGGCTCCAGCTGCAGCAATCTGCGCAGCCGATTGGGCCGAAAGGCCTTCGGCCTTTGCGAGCTTTCCAATGGCCATGGCGGCTTCCCGCACTTGCTGCTCCTGTGACATGCCCTTTTCTGCAGCAAGCCTAGCAGCCTCTGCTCCGGCTCCTGCGAGCCTCTCTATGAGTTCAGTGCTTTCGGAGTGGATCGGCACCACACACTCGTGATGCCATGTGGTGAAGGCCAAAGCTCCCTTGCATTCGGTCGGGGTGTCTTCATCATAGCCACGGCGGCAGCAAGCATTGCCAGTACCACAGAATGGGCAACTCCCAGACTTTTGGCCACATTCCCACCAGCAGTCCTTTCCAATGTTGACCAATGATTGGGCTGAGGTTGCTGGTTTCGGCGCAGCAGCGCCTGCCTTGACCAGGCCATTCACAGGAGCAATGCACTCATGATGCCAGGTCTGGAACCGAATGTCTCCTTGGCACTCGCTTGGTCCATCCTTCTCCCCTTCTCGGCAGCAAGCATTTCCAGCACCGCAAAAGCCACAATATCCGCTCTTCTGTTGGCATTCCCACCAACAATCCTTGCCATAGTTGGCCACCATCCCGCCAAAAGCTTTCGCTCCGGTTTCCGGTGGCTTGGCTCCAACCACGGCCTCCAGCAAGGCAGAATGAGATCATCGCAAGAACAAGATATGGACAGGTTTAGCACAAACACAAAGCAAACAAATGAGCCTTAAATGAGCAAATATATTACACAAAAGTCATATTGTGCAATTCTTTTCGTTCAAGCACGGGCTATCCACTGCTGAAAGTGTGGAATGTAATTGCTCGCTCCTTCTCAAGGTCGATCACATCAGATCGTGGTGGCAAAGGAAGCGACACTGAGTGTCCTGACTGGCAGCCTGCCAAAAAATGTGCCGAAGCAGACCCATCCCATCCCATCCCATCCCATCACTCGCATGAATGTTCCCAATTGCAACGAATGCCTACACGATGTGACACACTCTGGGGTAGAACTGGCAATCACCCTCTCTGTGCCTGCCATGGTCTTTGAGGAGTCCGGGGCAACAGCGTCAAAAGCATAGCCATTCCCGTTGAGAGCAAAATCCAATGGCTCGCCTGAATCGACTGAATCGACACATGTTCGTTGACCCGCTCGAGGTTGACTCGGCCCAATCAGTGCTATGCCATCCGACGGTCGACTAGACATTCCGTGAGGTATCTCAACGGGGCCGAGCGGCAAAGGTTCCCATTGTTTCCGTGACAAGCCTGACCTCCACACCAAACACACGGTTGCCCTTTGACCTTGAAGCCCGCGACTCGCTCGTAGGCTCGCCCATCAAAACCTGAGCAAAAAGTGCAAGAAGACGACCAATCAGTGCGGTTGCTTCCCAGGAGCCCCCCGAACGCTGGATTTCTGGTAGCCCGTCTTTCGAATCAGATTGCAGGAACAAAGAGTGCAATGTTTGGCCCTTGTATACTTGTGCCCAGTGCGCTCACACGCACTCTCAAGTCAAGAAACTGGATAAGCATTGCGTTGCCTCCTGACAATCACTCAAGTGGTCAAGAAGGGTTTCAGCAAAGATAGGTCCACCATGGTCCGCCTGCCTTGAGGGTATGGCAACCTTCTTTGTGCTCACGGAGGCAAGACAGTTCCAGCTTGGGCTGTGGAAGGTGCCAGCACCTTCCAGACAAACACCGGAAGGACAGGAGAAAACACTTTTGAACGCCCCAAGTGATTGAGAAGTGATTGTGAAGGCCACCGCTGAGAGCAGGACTGTGCTACTTTATGGCTGCCACTGGCTGTGAACGTGTTGAAGGTGTTCCCCTCCCCTCTGTGCAGCCAATCAAAGGACTCACCTCGATTGACTCCACAATGTTCCACTATATAATATAGTTCGGTGCCATGCTTGCCACCGTGGTCTAGAGTATTAGAGTTTAGAATGTGAACTGCATGTGTGGAACCAGGCTATTCACAGCCATTGGAAGACCAAGCCGCACAACGCATCGCTGAAACCTGAAGTGTAGACTTGACATTGAAGTTGCTACATAAATTCTTGTATATCTAAGAGCCAAATGTTGGAAGGCTGAGAATGTCATCTGTTTGAGTGCGGGGCTTGTGCAAGGCTCTCCCCCGCACCACACGCAGGCCTGAGTCGACTCCGTGAAGCTGTGAGAAGCCGTGAGAAGCCGTGAGAAGCCGTGAAGTCCATACCACGACCCAATATAAGGAAACGAGTGGTTCCTTAATGTTCCTTAGGTGGAGTCAAGTCAATCATATGCAATGGTTCTAATCCAAGGAGCATCTCCTCCCCGTTGAATGGCCTCTTTCATGAGTCCGAGCTCTGAGTCCTGTCCATGAGCATAGCTCGGCAATTGGCAAACAATCGGAGGTCGATGCAGGTCGATGGGCAAAAGCCACACTCACAATTAATATGTTCATGCGTAGGATGTCTTTGTTATGTAACTTGATTCTTTGTTGTATCAATTGGGAGCAAGAACGTAGCTCCTGGCAGTAACAAGAGGACGCTACGAACGTCACAAGACGGGCATCGCTAAGAGTAACGGAGGATCGCTACGATGAGGACACCTGGTCGGGTGTCCTTGCTGCTCAAGCACACCAGCTTGTCCCTCACATCTCTGCACTTTGGGACCGGCTGCAGGCAGCTGATGTCCCCATTGGAGGCTGGAAACCTGGTGTCCAAGGTGACAGGTAAGGCCAGACAATTTGACACATAATCAATCTGAGGAACCAATCAGGACTGTGAGATTCTGGACCACTGGCACCAAGCAAATCACCACTATCCTCAGCAGTTGGTGCATTGGTGCACTGCTGTGAGCACATTGCGCACTTGCTCGCACATGTCCCAGCCCACGAAAACAATGCCTGTGCAAGATTTAGAAGACTGTGGCTTCTGCAGGTGCTGTCGGTGCAGGTGCTGCTTCGGGTGTGGCGCTTTGGAGGGTTGCTGTGGTCGTGGTGCTGTGGTCGTGCAGGTGCTGTCCCAAGGTTTGGTCGAAGCATTGGTATGCATGCAAGAAATTTTGTTCCAAGCTTCACTTGCTTTCTCGAAAAGGACCGGCAAGCCGATGGCCTTTGTGCTGTTGCAGCCAGCTCGTTGGAATGGAATGTTTTGATGCCGATCAAAGATGTGTCCCTCACCATTGACGGCAAAGTCATAGGGCTCACCTCAGTCTGATGCCATCGGCGAGTGAAGAATGTATACGTCGAAGGGCGCAACATGTTTTCTGCGAACGAAGTGACACTTGTTGGTGTTCAAGCTTCCGCTCTGGCACGGCAAACCCCCGCACCAAACACAAGGCTGGCCTTTCACCTGGCAGAAATAGTCAGACATGCAAAAAAGTAAACATATGGAAAGGAGACGATCGCTCGGAGACGGAGAGCCCTTCAATGGGCATAAAATGAGGTGGAAATGAAGAAAGAGAGGAAACATGGGAATGGCACCGAAAGCTGCTGAGAAAGAAAAGAGTCAAGGACACAATGAAAATAGGTCTCTTCATGCTTATTCACGACGGAGTCTCTGAGGTCCTTTTTCCCAACACCCCTCAACTTCAAACCCTTGGCCAATGCCATGACACTGAAACCACAACCTACGATTTTGCTCGCTTGGAGTAGCCTCTTAGTTTTCACAAAGCACCGACATCCTTCATCTAGCCTTGTAGCCACCCACTTGTGCGTACGGACGGCCATCCACACTCGCCAAGCACGTGTCTTTGTCACTTATCTCATTGCCTTAGCCGAAAGTCTTCTTTGACTACACTTGGACTTGGGATCCTCAAACCCTCACTGTGTTGTTTTGATAAGGGCAGGTTCGGAAATCTCAATAAGTTCATGGCAAGTGAAGAAATTATTCAGGTCTGATTCGAACGATTTCCTTCACTTGCATCATGTTGATCTCTTGCTTTCATCAAACTGAGTAAGCGACATCCTGACTTTGCTTCTTTGAGGCAGGACAGCTCCCCAAAATGCAGCGATGCGGTGGAGCATTGTGCCTTCGTCCCAGCAGATTGTCAAAGGTACGCAGCACAAACAGTATACAAATGATTGTACATAAAATGATGTCAGTACATCTCAGCACAAACTTGTCAATATTTGGTGGGACTGACTTGGGCTGCCTGAACTTCCAGCCCGCAACACTTGGGGGAACAATCGGGTCACTTCTTGAGCAGGGCCCCTTTTTTTCGTGTTGCGGCCTAAAATGTGAAAGATTAATTCTCATGGTTCATATTATATATACAGTACGTGTATATGCTGAATATACTCCTTAACCTGGATGATCCTTCAAGCTCACGCATGGGCTTTGTCAGCACAGCCAAGCTTCAGGTGTGAGGGCCACAGCATTCAGCGCACCAAAGGCCCGTCCGGCTCCCTTCTCCAAGAAGTCGAATGGCGCACAGAGGCTCTCCCCACCGGTGTTGCACTGAGCTCCGCCACACCAAACGCATGGCTCACCTCACATGGGGGAAGGCTTTTTGGGATAGTTCTCCACCCCTTTATCAGGAACCAAAGGCTTCAATTTTGCTGGCCTTTGATTCGCAATCCTGCATAAGAGGTCACACTCGACCCATCGACACTGCTGAGGCAGTCCAACTTGTTTTTGATGGCTTCGCATCCCTTGGGCTCTGCCTGGACAAGAACAAGTCGCGCGCAGGTTCGCTCAACTGACTGCAGGAGGAGTCCGGCCTTGAGACAAGAAATCGCACTGGGTCTTGTAATTGGAAATGGAGGGCTGGAGACCTGGAAAATTGGGAGATGCCGTTTGACCATCCCACCGTCGCATTGCGCCACAGTGATTCCTGCGATGCAAGAGAAGATGCGTCAACAAGACTCAGCAAAGTTTGGTTGGTTTGGCTCGGCATTTTGCGTGCCTGCAGCAAGAGTGTAATTGAAAGCCTCAGTGACCATTCACTCACCAAGTGAGCCAATGCACGGGCCTGACCAACTCGCAAGACGAGTCATCTGAGCTGCCCGCTTTTCCTTGGCCATGCACTTGGATATCATAAACCTCGCAGCGGTTGGTCCCATTGCTGTGGCATAGGCCGCCATTGCACCAAACGCAGGGTTGCCCACGCACCTGGAGAAACACACATGAGTTTTTCCTCAGGTGTGTCTGGAACTCGGAACTCAGAACTCCACCAACTTCATCCCTCGCCTTGAGACCTTTATGATATGGATCCTCGTCGCGGTCATCGACGCTCGCGAGGCAACCTGGGCGTCATCCCGGCCATCGACACGGACGAGACGGTGCACGTTTTCATGCCGGCACTGGTTGAGGCCGGTCACAGTGAACCAAAAATACGGAAGCAGAAGCAGGAGTCTATGGACGGGAAGACTCATGGACGGGGCTGTGGACAGGCTAAGGCATGCTGAGCTACTGTACTCATCTTGCAAGGAAGGGCATCCCTTGACGGCTTTCTCCAAGCAATCACCATTCCAATTCGCGTGCTTGATAGATGAAGATTTTCCAGCGACCTCCATGAACAAAAAGCAAGAAGCATCATGAAGCATCAAGAAGTACAGACTGATGTGGGGTTTCGGATTGCATGCGTTCACGCACACGCCGATTGGTTGCCTCGAACGAGTGTTTTGCATGGAACACGTCGAAGGCGAGGCCTTGTCCATGCCTTGAGCCACGCCCAATGGGCCAAGTGGCGGCCAAGCAAAGAAAAGACATGACAAGGTGGACCATGTAAAGACCATGGTCCATGGTCCACACAGTACAAAGGACAAGGTGGACCATGACCATGTTTGTAAATGACAAAGAAAAAGACATGACAAAACATTGCGGCGAAGCGTCATGAGGTAGTCAAATGGACCGCACTTAGATTCATCCTCCGTGGTGCACGCAATGCCCCCACACCAAATGCACGCCTCCCCATAAACCTGCAAAAGAAAAAAGGTTGCACTGCTTTGTCATGAAACCGGAAATGGACAGACGACACATCTTAGCAGTGTCTCGGAAAAACTGCCATGGACATTGGGACAATCATGGGCAATCACTTGCCGCTTGCCTTGAAGCTATCCAGTTTGGCGACACTGGCATCCTTGCTGTTAAGGCATTCCTCTTTGGTGCTTAGGCTTTTGCAGCCATTTGCCACTGGCGTCAGCAGCTCCAGGTCCTTAACACTGGGTGGCGGGATCTGCCACGGCTCACTTTTGACCTTGATCACTGCAGGCTTTCCAGCCTCACAGCGAGCGATTTCCGTGTCTCCCACCAGCTTTCCCACTGCAGCCATGGAGGCACCGCTCCTCCAGGAGCCAAAGGACTCACAAAGAGCACCCGTCTGGTCGTTGCACGCAGCTCCACCACACCAGACGCATGGACCTCCTGAATCCTTGCTCATGAGACAGCCAGTCCTCTCCTTCAGTGACGAACACGCGCCCTCAGCGGAACGGAGGCACAACACCTCCTTTGGCATGAGGGACGACATATTTGTCACATCCACCTTTCTGGCATAGCATTCTGCACCTTCTTTCTTGATGGTGTGTGCCACTGGCACATGCCAAAGCTCACAGAAATGAGCTTGAGGGATCCACTCCACAGCTCCGCAGGATCCCGAACAAAGGCTCTTGCACTCCTCGAGGTCCTTTGCCGACCATTTTTCAACTTTTTTTGAATCGCTCTTTATTCCTTGGCACCCTCTGTCTTTGCCGCCATGAAGTGGGAGAAGCTCGTCAGCGAGCGATCCAACGCATAGAATCAAAAGAACCTCAGATCGCTTGCACAATGTGGAGTGCTCTTGCACTTCATCCATTGAATGTCCTGTCATTAAGTACGTCCTAATGCCAGTTGCATGTCTAATGTGTTAGCCTAGCAGCTGACACCGCAGGCGTCATCATGATCAGCTGACCCGCAGGGTGAACAAGTGAAACAGATCTGAAAACAATCGCGGCAAGAAAAACAAATGACGTGTCTTACACACAAAGTGAGAAGGGGAGGGGGAGTGCTGAAGGAACATGAGGCCACCGCACCCTTTCTGCAGCTTGTGCCGTGCGCCTTTGGCGCGAAACTCGAGACCATGCTAAGCTTGAAGTCCGCGCATTCTTCAAGAAATTGAGTTGGTATAGAAATGACGTGTGCCCAAGTTGCCCGAAGAAGCGCGAAAGACTTGGGAGACAGGCAAACACACGAGACGGGCGATTGTGGACGTGTGGAAGACATGGAATTGCCTTGAAAACGGCTCTTCACCGCCCTAGCTGTACAAATCTGAAGCGGCTTCCATGGAAGGGACACGTGCCCACTTCACAGACTTCTCGCGGGAGCTGCACAGCTCCAAGCTACCTGACAAGTGGTAAAGTCTCACCTCATCGAGAATGCCCAATCTGCACTGTAAAGTGGCCTATTTGGGTAGAATGCGGCCTCACACGAATCTCTGAGCCAAAGGTGTAGCTGCTTGTGTCACTGTGGAAAGTCTGGGCCGAATGTCACCCTGAGAGGCCCGACTCCTTTCAGCTTGGATCATTTGAAAAACAGCCGTTGCCTTGGAGTGACCGAGTGCTCTTGGTGAGGAACCACCGGCGTTGTCCCCAACAGATGCCACGTGCTTTAAGCTCCTAGTAGCTTCTTGTTACTAGTAGCTACTTGCTCCTAGTAGTACGGCCAAGTGCCCCTAGTAGCGTCCTTGCTCCTAGTGGCGATGCCCTTTGCTCCTCTTATGTAAATCCATCTTCCTCCCCCTGAGCTCCCAACCACCTCGCAACTTTCAGGATTCTTGTCAGGATGCCACACTCGAAGTAGCTCCTTCATTTGAGTCGAACTGCTTCTAGACCCGAGGTAGAGCAAGAGCGAAGTACGCATGGCTTGACGTCAAGCAGCTCAAATTTGATGTCAGGCAGCCCGGCCTTGAACCCCTTTTGTCGGGCTTCTCGCGAAGGGTTTTGCTTCAAAGACAACCTGGATTCACTCAGGCAAGTCTAGCAACTAGCTTTCAGACTTCATAAACTCTCCACAAGGCTCATGTCCAGGAATATTGTTGTGTTTGTTCATTGTTTCTGCAGGTTGGAGATATGGCTTTTTTATGGTTGTGAAAAAGGCTAAATTTGAATTTATATGTGTTATGTTCTTCCCGAATGCGTAGCGAAGGGTTCCCGTTTATAGTTGGGGGTCTGGGGGTTGGAGCTGTGTTCGCGTGGCTTGCGTCGTCTCGTCGTTTGTCGTCGTTTGTCGTCGTCTCTCGTCGTCGTCGCGTCTCAAATTTGCTGCCATTGGGGGAAGCTTTTGCAAGTGACTTTTCATGGACGTATCACGTGTCAGTTTGCGACGCTATTCCATTGTGATTTGCATGACAACGACATGTCGCGTAAGAAACGTGATGCACTTCGCTGCACAGGCGCAGCGTTTTGTGAGATCCGCAGATTGCCGCGCAGTTCCATTGGGATTAGCGTTTGGAGAGTCGTGTTTTTTGGGGTGTTGGATGTGGCCGTGCCATTGGGATTTGCGTTTCAGGGTGTGGCATCGAAGCTCGGTTTTCGTGACAAGTCTCAGCTGAAATGGCGATTTTGGTGGATGGGAGTGTGCTCAGAATGGGTCGAAATCATTCCAAACGTGTGGTGTGGTGCAAATTTTGTTGAAGCTCACAGGAGATGATATTGTCACTTTTCGTGGCAGGCGCAGGACTTTGTGCGGGTTTTGAGGCGTGGAAGTGCGGTTCTCGTGGCAGGCGCAGGGAATCGTGAGGTTGCGAGGTGTGAGGGAGGTGACATTTCGTGGCAGGCGCAGTACTTTGTGCGCGTTAGACGTGTGGATGGGGAAAGATTCGTGGCAGGCGCAGGGAATCGTGAGGTTGTGAGTTGTGGTAGAGGTGAATGTCGCTGTCACATTGGGATTGGCGTGTGAGCGGATGTTGTTTGGAGGGGCTGGAATCGCGAAACTGCTTGGCAGGGCTGCGTGATGTGTGTGCTCCGATGGGTGTTTCCGCTTGACTTTTGGAGGAGGTCTCGTACGAAACGCTCGTTTTGCAGACTTTGACGCGTGAGTTTTTGAGGAGGTCTCGTACGAAACGCTCGTTTTGGAGACTTGACGCGCAACCCTCTGCGGAGATCGTGCGTGTCGAGTGTGCGAAATGCAGGCGAGAGTGCGATTTGTCCCATGCGCGCGCAACCCT